CATCAGGCTCCCTGCTCAGCGGGAAGCCTGCTTCTCCCTCTCCCACTCCCCCGCTTGTGCTCCCTCTCTCGCTGTGTCTCTCTCTGTCAAATAAAAATAAATAAATAATTATAAAAAAAAAAAAAAGACTGGTACTGAATTTCGAGTGATAAATAATAGAATAGCCTTGATCCTTAAGTGACCTTGGCAAGTCCTTTGTGGTCTCTAATTACAGGTTTGCTGATTTATTTATTTATTTATTAAGGCTGGGCAGTAGGTCTTAATTATCACTTCTTCAAATTCTGTACTTTTCTGATGATTTTCCCACCTCCAGCCTTCTGGTCAACAGTGACACATCTTTTTGTTGAGTGGTGTGTTTGGGCTGGTTTGAGGGGGCCATAGGATGTGTGAAGAGAGGTCACAGGAGGTAAAGATGAATCACAGGACCTCAGATGACAGGCCTTGGTGATTACAGGTTCTAAGCAGGTAGGTAACATGATTGTGGCTATATGCTTAGGAAGGTGAAGTTCTTTACCTTCTAACAATCACCCTCTCTCTTACACTTCCCACACAGCCCAGCCCCTAAAAGGATTGATTATACTTGCTGTCTTTATTTCTTCAGCTCATATTCATACTTCACACTCACATTCCTCCTAATTGCCAGACTCCTGATCCATTTCTTTGTTGACTTTGACCTTGTCAGGCTTGCCCTTGCTTCTTTGGCCTCTCCTTCTTGGTCTCTTCTGTCCACCCAGTATCCCCTCACATGTTGCCTGGACTCAACCCTCAGTCCTTGGCCAGCTTCACCTGACAAGCCCTCCGTGAGCAGTGGTGCTCCCTCCTGTTCGGCAATTTTCCTCTGGCTTCAAAAGATTTGGGGCCCACATTTCACACAACGGTTTCATGTTGAGCATTTGATGTGCTAAAGCAACTCTGCTCCCATCTCCCCTTCTATCCTCATTTTCCCTTTGCCTCATTTACCATCTGTTTCTGAAGCTAATTTCTTGTTTTGAAAACCTTCAGTACTTCCTGGTACAAGGGAGGCAGTAAATAACACATGCACACTGGTGACCTCTGACTCTGTGCCTGTGGCCCGGTCTCTTGCTAGGGCTGTGCTGTCCACTACCATAGCCTCTATTCCCATGCAGCTACCAAAATGCAAATGCACTAAAATTAAGTAAAATTCAGTTCCTGCATTTCTAGTGGTCAATAGCTACATGGCTAGCAGCTACCATATTGGATAGCACAAATCTCTAGAACATTTCCCTCATCACAGAAAGTTCCCTTGGATAGCACTGGTCTAGAACCTAGAGGCCATATCCCAGCTGCCTTATGCTTTCATCTGAGTGTGTCCCATATGCATCTCAAATTCACCATGTCCAGAGCAGGTTAGGAGAGAAGGTGCTGAAGGATGGGGTGAGAACAGATCAAAGAAGTGCAAGTTCAGGATGTTGAAGATTAAGCTTTTTTTTTTTTTTTTTTAATGAAAACTTTTAAACACACAAGGGAGAGAGAATCGTGAAACCCACACCTTGTTCACAGATTTAGTAGTTCAAGGCTAAGCATGTGTCAGGGATGTGATGCAAGTTCAAGAGGGGCCATGAGCTGGAGGATGAGAGATGGGGGTCATTACACAAAGACCCTCACCTGTGGCTATTGACAGGGATAAGGGATGCATATGCTAAATCCTGAATGATGACCATGGTGCATAGTTTTTTGGTACTTTCTACCTGGTAAGGAAGAGGGATAGGTTTGGAGTAGATGACAGGAATTAAGACAGAGGAGTGATAGAACTGCACATGTCTTGTGAACTCCAGAGGGAACTTGGTGAAGATGGCAAGGGCAAGGGGGTGGGGCAGCCTGCAGCAGCAGGACATTGGAGAAATGACGAAATCCATGTTCTCTGGTTTCTTAAGCAGGTAGAGAAAGAATGTTTGTCCTTGCAGAGGATATTGAGGGACTCAGCTTCACATAAGAACCTAGTTTTCACCTACTTTGGGAGAAGCACACTGTGGTTAATGGAGGGTATTTTGTCTGTAACAGGAGGGACAAGCAAGGGCTAATGCGCCTGTGGGGAGGAATGTGTGTTATACATGATGGTGAGGATTAGGGAGACTTAGGGGCCAAGAGGATGTGTCACTTACTCTGTGTGTGTGTGTGTGTGTGCACACGTGCGTGCGCATGCATGCATTGGGCACCTCTGAAGTCCTCATGGTAAAACAGAAGAAACAGAATGGCTTTTCAGATCCTGAAGATGAAGATAAAGATGAAGTAGCTTGTGCATTAATTCATTTACAGTGTACCGTTTGTGTATTAACTTCTTGGGGACAGTCAAACCGTCTCATCAAATGAGGGATAAGAACTAAAACAGTGCTCTGAATTAATCTTTGGATAAGTTTTGTTATTGACACACCCATTTTGATACTCTTGTGTTAGACATACTTGGTCTTTCATTGAGGAATCTAAGAACTGGAGTTTCTTTCTGATTAGGCCCTGTAATGCTCTTGTCCAGAGTTGTCCAGAATGTTTGTTAATAATTTTAGTTGTTCCAGCACTGCTTTTAGGCACTACAACTTTTGCTGATGTAGAATATATTGTGCACTATTAGTATTAGGCTAATGTCTTTCAGTATTTCTTTATCTTTTAAAATATTTCTTTGGTGATACATAGGCTAATCGCCTCCACAGTTCCTGCAAGATAGGAGGATACTCTTTTTAAGTCCTGATCTGGGGCAGAGGGGGAGGGAGAGAGAGAATCTTTTTTTTTTTTTTTTAACAATTTATTTATTTATTTGAGAGAGAGAGACCATGAGCCTGGGGAGGGGCAGAGGGAGAAGCAGATTTTCCGCAGAGCAGGGAGGGAGCCTGACGCAGGGCTCGATCCCAGGACCCTGGGATCATGAACTGAGCCACCCAGGTGCCTCAGGTGCAGTCTTGCCCGTATGTCACGTTGCTGTTCAGTAACATACTATAAGATGAGTATGATTACTTATATTTTTTTATGGATTAGGAAAGTGACACACTTGTGAACGGGAAGAATGTTAGAAATGTAAAAACAAGCAGTTAGACTTTATAGGGTTTTCCCTCACTGCTTAGAGCTCTTTATCATTCTATTATCAACCATTCATCTGTGGGTGAAAAATTTCTAAATGTCATTTAATTTTCATATAGCAAAGAATAAAAGATAAAAGAGATTTTTTAACACTTCATTTTTTTTTAAAGATTTATTTACTTATTTTAGAGAGCATGAATGGGGAGAGGGGCGGAGGGAGAGGGTGAGAGAGAGAATTGCGAGCAGACTCCCCGCTTAGTGTGGGGCTCAATCTCACGATCCTGAGATCATGACCTGGGCTGAAATCACAAGTCGGATGCTTAACTGACTGAGCCACCCAGGCACCCAAAGCTAAAAGAGCTTTTTAAAGATTGGTAAAACAAATGAGAAATAGATGTTTTAATTTCTATATTAAATATAAGGGTTCTGTTGAGCATTTTCTTCCACTTGCTGCTTCAGAAGTCACGTAGCAATTGGAACCCAAAGTGAACTTTTTGAGCTCATAGTCTCTGCTCTTAAATTGCTGACTGGCACCGTTGTAGCCATCGAGACACTTGTGGGGGGTTTTTTTCAGCTCCAATTAGTTTTAAATATTTATTTCACTTAGTTTTTAAAAGAATTGTCATTAAGTAAGAATGATGGGTCTGTGGTCATTTGTAGGTTGACTAGGGAACATTTGTGTCTTCATTACGGTATGTTCACAAGTCAGTACATCATTACTCTTTGTCTTAACAGAATCTTGGTAAATGTATAGACTGAAGTGGCTTTCTGGGAAGGATGAGTCATTTTCTTGACTGGATACTAATTCAAGTGCACATATCTGTGACTGTGTTGTACCTTACGCTCCCTGTCAACACACAGTTCTTTGGCACTTTGCCTTTTGAGAATGTCATCATCTCCTAATAACAGTTATGTTCTCAAAAGGCTGGAGAGAGAGGAATTGAAAAGAAAGGCAGAGGAGGAAAGACTTCGCCTAGAAGAGGAAGCCCGTAAGCAGGAAGAGGAAAAGAAGCGGCAGGAAGAGGAAGAAAAAAGAAAGGCAGAAGAGGAGGCTAAGAGAAAGGCCAAGGAGGAGCTGTTATTAAAAGAAGAGCAAGAAAAGGAAAAACAAGAAAAAGAAAAGCAAGAAAAGGAAAAACAAGAAAAAGAAAAGCAAGAAAAAGTCATGATTGAAAAGCAGGTACTGTATGAGTCTTCATATGGACTCTCTTTATGGGCTTTAGTTAATATTAGGTAAAATGAATTAAATTTGAATGACTCATAATATTTACTTGAAGTTTTTTCTTTAACTGGGCTGGTTATTAAGTATGAGTTACTTTGGGCAATAAAAGTGAAGTTTATAGTGTTTGCAGTATGTCAGTTCACATTCCCCAACATGTAGACCCTAGGATGAGAATTTGGGTGCCGATAGTTTATTTGGGATAAGATCCCAGGAAGCTGGTAGGGAAGTGAGAGGAAATCCCATATAAGTGGACCACTGGGAGTTAGTCCCTTTGGATTCTCTAAGAGACTGTGCAGTATGCCTTAGAATTGTCCCTCTGAGGGGTGAGGAAACTGGATTATTTATCTGTGAACTCCTGCCTATCATGGTTGTAGGTCATTACTTGGGGAATTAAGTTTCTGAAACTCCTGGGGTGCCTGGGTGGCTCATTTGTTTGGGCATCCAACTCTTGATTCCGGCTCCAGTTGTGGTCTTGTGCTCATGGGATCAAGCCCCACATCAGGCTCCATGCTCAATGTGGAGTCTGCTTGGGATTCTTTACCTTTTTGTCTCCCTCCCCCTTTGCCCCCCCCACCCCACCATTTGTGCATGCATGCTCTCTCTAATAAATACATAAAATCTTGAAAAGAAAAAAACAAAAGTTTCTGAAACTCTTGGCCAGATGCACATGGCTAGAAACTGCCCTCAGACACAGAAAGATTTTGGCAGGCAGTATGGGAACGATCTGCAGGTAATTTGCATGGTGGACTGAGGGTATATGGGTGAGGCCTGGCCATGTCTGCTGTGTCATAGAGCAGGCTGTGTAAATCCACACTGAATATTGAAACAACATCCACTTTGAGGTAGATGATAAAGTGGAAGGACATGTGCATATCCCAAGGAATCCCACTACACTGTTTTCTCAGCTTAGTAAAGTCTGTGCCTTGGTTTTCCTGTCTCTGTCAGAAGGAAGCGGCAGAAGCAAAGGCCCAGGAGGCAGCTAAACAGATGCGTCTAGAAAGAGAACAGATCATGCTGCAGATTGAGCAGGAGCGACTGGAGAGGAAGAAGGTAAGAGCTAAGGATCAGGAGGAGTTAAGGTGAGGCAAGAACAGGAAATGAATCTAGTTCTGTTCTGTAGTTTTTGGGTAGAGTGATCTTAAAATTATCTAATTAGGTCAAGTTTGTTGGTAGTGCTGTTCAAATCTTCTGTATCTCCATTGGTTTTCTGTCATCTTGTTCTATTAGTAACTGAGAGAAGAGTGTTAAAAGCTCTATTTGTGATTATGGATTTATCCATTTCTTTTGTTTTATATGTTTTTGAAGCTCTGCTGTTAGGTGAATACATATTTCAGATTATTAAATTTTCATGTTGAATTGACCCCTTTATCACTAATATATGTTTATCTCCAGTAATAATTGTCTTAAAGTCCACTTTGTCAGACTTTTTATGGTTAGTGTCTACATGGTAAATATTTTTCCATCCTTTTAGTTTGAACCTATGTGTGTCCATAGAAGTATGTGTCTTGTAAACAGCATATAGTTAGGGCTTGTTATTTTAATCCAATTTCACAGTCTTTGTCTTTTCATTGGAGTGTTTCGTCCATTTACATTTAACGTGATTAGGGATAAAGTTGGGTTTAAGGAGGCTGATGATAAAGTTCCATTCCCGAGGTGTCCTAGATCCAGCCCAGGCTTTGTACTACTTTAGGCCTGAGAGCTAGGAGACCAATCTCTGGCCTCCCCTCCTGACCTGCACCTCAGCTTCACTTCCTCTAGGGTGGTCCTCTAGAATGGCAAGTGGTGATTTGTTGATTTTTAGGTAACCTACAGAGAGGAAGGAAAAAGATGGGATCTAAACTGTTGATTCTAGATACTAGTTCACTTCTCAAGCATTTGACCTTGTTCATAGGGCAGAGGTGTATATCTGCAAAACCAATGGAAAACCTTTCTGTACCCATTATCCTCTGCTAATGCTTCTCTTTTATAAGTTTTCTGACATATGAATTTGCATATAGACCCAGCTGCTTTTATATGTATTTGGTATTATAGTCCTCTTACCTGATTCTTTTTGGTTTCCAGAGAATTGATGAAATCATGAAGAGAACAAGGAAGAGTGATGTGTCTCTAGAAGTGAAGGTAGGTGTTCAGAGTGTCATTTTAGCAGTTTATGGACTGAGGAGAAAAGAATGGCACAGTATATTCAGTGGAATTGTAGGTCTTGGAGAGGAACAGCCAGAAAAACTGAATTCTTCCTACTTTGTTCCTGACTAGATTAAGGAGGCTGTACATACCTGGAAGGGAAGAGAAGTCTAAGAGGAGTTTCAGAGACAGGGTGATAATGAAAAATTTCCTCCGAGAAGTAGGGGTAGGGATGCAGAGAGAGGCACAGTAGTCCCTGAATAAAACAGAAAATGGTGGGGTGCCTGGGTGGCTCAGTCGTTAAGCGGCTGCCTTCAGCTCGGGTCACGGTCCCAGGGTCCTGGGATCGAGCCCCGCATGGGGCTCCCTGCTCCAGGGAAGCCTGCTTCTCCCTCTCCCGCTCCCCCTGCTTGTGTTCCCTCTCTCTCCGTGTCTCTCTCTGTCAAATAAATAAAGAAAATCTTTAAAAAAAAAAAAACAGAAAATGGTGACATATTAATAAGGGAAACACAGCTGATTTGTAATAAACTCAAAAGATTCCAAGAATTACCATGGAACAGGCAGATGGCTCAGCACAGTTCCAAATATCCTTTGATGCTTTTCAGAAGCACTTGTCTTTCTGTGTAAAGTCATCTTTCCCTGTGTTTGTTTTCAGAAAGAAGACCCAAAGGTGGAGCTTCAGTCTGCTGTGTGTGTAGAAAAAGAGACAAAACCAGCTGTCCTGAACAAAATAGGTGAGTGTGAGAACTGGTTCTCGGGTTCTTCCTTTCAGCAGGTACAGGCTCATAACACTTCCTGCAGGGGACAAACACCCGTGGGTCTTAAGAGCATTACTGCTAGAAGGGGACTATGTGGTTTCCCTTCTGGTGGAGTCTCCCATCTCTACCACATGTCTGTCAGCTCCATTCAGAAAGTGGTACTCTAATAGTCCCAGCACAGAAAGCTGGCCACCTCCTGGCCCATGCTACTTTCCAGGGAGACAGCTGGTCAGGTTCAATTCAGAACTGACTCTGCTATTCTACAGTGGTTTCTCCTATCTTCCAGACTTCCAGGCAGTCCAGCTCTTCTCTCTCGAGTATATTTAAAACTCCTTAGATGTGAATATATCATGGCAACCAAAGTCAGAAGGGCGTGTCCATCTCAGAGGCACTCTACATCTCTCCTTTGCCTTGGGGCTCAAGAAAACGCTATACAGAGCCTGGGGACCTGCACAGTATAAGACCCCAAGCCTCCTGAGTGGGTCAGGAGCCCTGCACAGACACTGATGATGTCATCAGTCTTCTTTTCCCTGTGTGAAGGCGATGACATGGGTTTTGTGGGGGTTTTTTTGTTTTTTGTTTTTTGCAAAAGATGTTGCACTGTTGGTAAAGCAGAGGATTAAATTAATTGCCTCAATATATATTTCCTCTGTTATTTCATTGTTCTGGATATTTTATGGTTAACAGAATGATTTTGTCTTCTCAATCAGAAATAAATGGATTAAACACTTGCCAGGAAGTTAATGGTATGGGGCGTACTGCCCCAGAAGCTTTTCCTCGAGACATTTTCTCTAATGGGCTTAAACCAATTGGGGGACTTGTTCATCTGGACACCCTTGATGGGAAATCAAACAGTCTGGATGATTCAACTGAAGAGGTTCAGTCTATGGATGTGAGGTAAGTTCATTTATTTTGCATATGAGCCTCATCTCTTCTCCAAACACCTCCACTGCCTCTTCATTGATTTTTTTCATCTTTTATACACCTGAATCAACTAAAGTAGGTTCCATTGGCATTGGAAAGCTATCAGTGGTTTATTAGTGTCTTAGGTCGGTTCCTTAGAAGTAGAGCCTGGGAGGGGTGCCTGGGTGGCTCAGTGGGTTGAGCGTCCAACTCTTGGTTTCGGCTCAGTTCATGATCTCATGGGTCATGGAATTGAGCCCCATGTCTGACTCTGTGCTCAGCAGGGAGTCTGCTTGAAGATTCTCGCCCTCTGCCTCTCCCCGACTTGTGCATGCATACGTGCGTGTGTGTGTATGTGCGTGCGCCGTGTGCATGTGCTCTCTCTCTCTCAAATAAATAAATATTAAAAAAAGAAGTAGAGCCTGGGATAGGTATTCTAAGGCATGGGATTTATAGGGAAAGAGTTCTCTGGAGCAAGTGGAGGATGGGAAGCAGGATGGGGCAGGGGAAGTCACTAAGCAAGGATTATTTCAGCTGATCCTATGGGAGCTCTGGAGGATGAATTTCTACCAGAGAGTGGTCAGATTAAGGGAGGCAGCCTTTGTGCCACTGTATCCATCAGTCATTGAGTGTGGTCACCCAAGGTGGGGGAGGCAGGTCTAACTACTGTGGGCATAGGGCTCCTGTCAGCCAAAGGCAGTTGTTCAGAGAAAGGGTGGCAGCTATGAGCTATTAGCAGCCTGCTCTCTCTGCAGCTGGAAGACGGCTGCACCTATAGCCAAAGGGGATCTGAGTGGAACACCAACAGGACTCACTGTATCCAGTGTCTTATGTTAAATAAACTTGTCATTGGGGACTTGATAAGGAATCTAATTTGCTCTCAGGTGCTAAAATCTTAAGGAATTCTTAAACTAGTGTGTTTGTAGATGATATCACCTGGCAAATTAATCCCAATCAAAAGGAGAACTCAGCATGTGGTTGGGGCAGAAACACTGGAAAGAGAGAGCCTTGGGCAGGGCAGTTGAGTGGGGGCAGCAGTCTGAGTCCGGAGGCAGTGACAGTGTTTTGCAAAAGTTCTGTCAGAGCTCCAGCTGGCCAGAGCTTACCCTTCTCTCCTTGGCTGTGAATTCTCAGCTTCGTCTGGGGAGGAGGGTATTTCCTAGGGCACAGTGATTGTAAATATCCCAGCTTGTGCATCCTGGCCTTGAGCCAGATATGTAAAAACCCAGGGTTCAGCACCCCGTCACCAGTAGAGCAAATTCTACAGACAGCCCTTGCCTCCATCGTCGGTCTCCTCAGCCCCCAGGGTAAAACAGCTGAGGCATCTTAAACATTAAGGCAACATCTATGCCCCCACCCCATGTTGAGCCTACCTCTGCTTATTCTTTATATCTCTGGGAGTGGGGTAGGGGATAAGACAGCACCCGCCCGGGTTTAAGAAAGCGAAGGGGCTTTGTATGTGCTCCGAGTTCTCCTGTGGCCACCTCTGCATTTAGAGAGAGATGACTCCTGGAGGTTGTGTCCAAGCTTGTGGAATTTTCTCCTCATGCTCTGACCAGCTGTTTAAACCCAGGGAAAGGAGGCAAGGTAAGGTGGAGATGGGGTGGGTGTTTCTGCTGATGGGGCAGTTTTCCCAGGCTCCAGCCACCAGAAGTGGTGTTAGGTCTTCTACTGCCCCTTAACTAGGCTGAGTATGAGGGAGATGGATTTTCTGAGTTTCTTCAGTTCAGCTGGTTTTTGTAGATTCTTCTCTCAGATCTTATCAAGGAAGAAAAGAACAGTCAAACCTGGCAACAGCCCTACTCTGGCTGTTAAGAAAGACTCCGAGTGATGGGACCTCACATGCCAGCCCACCACTCATCTGAGCTAGGCCTGTGGTTGACACAGCTGTGAAACTCCTTCTTCCATCTCTAGGTTGAAGAGAGAGAGAGCCAGGCCTGCTGGGCAGGAGTTGGATAAGTCAGGGTGGAGTGGGGCCTCACTTTAGAGAGGGAACATGGGAGAGATTTGCTCTGCAGGTGACTGGGTGGATGGTGGGGTCCTTATTAACAATGGCTCCCTGGGGCGCCTGGGTGGCTCTGTCGTTAAGCGTCTGCCTTCGGCTCAGGCCATGATCCCAGGGTCCTGGGATCGAGCCTCGCGTCGGGCTCCCCGCTCCACGGGAAGCCTGCTTCTCCCTCTCCCGCTCCCCCTGCTTGTGTTCCCTCTCTCTCCGTGTCTCTCTCTGTCAAATAAATAAGTAAAATCTTTAAAAAAAAAAAAAAATGGCTCCCATCTAAACTGAACACTTACTGCAGGTGGCTCTACACAGACTTCCTAGGTATGATCACATCACGCTCAGAGGAGCCCTGGCAGGGAGAAATGAGTATTCACCCCATTGTACAGCAGAAGAAACTGAAGCCAGGGGAGAAAAAGCAGCTCGTCCAAAGTGGCACTGCAAAAGAAAAGTGGCACCAGGAGCCCCAGTGCTGACTAGGGCCCTTCCTCAGCTCAGTTTTAACTTCTAGCATTTGCTTTCTATTTGGGTTTCCCATTTTGAAGGTTTTGGAAGTGGTTGGCTTCTCTGCACTGCTGGTGCCTTTGGTTTTTATTTTCTTTCTTCCTGTGGACAGTGTGAACTTGGCCTTCACAGCCCTGCTCAGTCCACTTCCCTTGTTCTCCTCCATGGGGGCCTTGTGTCTATCAGTGTCTCAGAGTTGAACTAACTTGTATTTTGTGTAGAATGTTTCACACCAGCTTTGGCTTTAAATGCATCTTCTCTAGAAGAGTAATATAACCAAATATTGCAAATAGAATTAATTTTTGCCTCTTTCTCTCTCTCTACCTCTCTCCTTCTCTTCCCCTCCCCACATTCCAGTCCTGTTTCAAAGGAAGAGCTTATCTCCATCCCAGAATTTTCACCAGTAAGTGAAATGATTCCTGGGGTGTCTCTGGACCAAAATGGAACTGGTAATGCCCGAGCACTTCAAGATCTCTTAGATTTCACCGGCCCCCCCATGTACCCTAAGCGATCCAGTGAAAATCTCAGCCTGGATGATTGTAACAAAAACCTGATTGAAGGATTTAACAGTCCTGGCCAAGAAAATACTCTGAACACCTTCTGTTGACAAATACATCTCTTTAACGAAAGGTATAGTACAGTCTTTTGATTATAGTCTAAATTTATACCTCTCCAACTGGGGTTTGTGAAGGTGGGATAAACATCACTCAGTCTCTTGGATGGTCAGTTTTATTTGAAAAGTACAAACGTGAACATGAATACGGGTGTCACACGTTTTTCAAAAGTTCTGCACTAGGCCAAATGTAGTTTACAACAGACCTACATTAGTATCTGTTTATATTAACTGAAAGTAATCCAAAGAGGGTTTCACTCTTACAAAAACAAAAGACAAAATGTGAAAATAGTATTCAGTGTTCGTCTTGGAGCCAGCTGTTACAGAAGCTTGAGAGTAGTGAGAGTAGCTCTGCCAAGCTCCTTCCTGAGAACTGCACTCAATTCAGCTGCCATAGCTTTGCACTGTCTGTGAGCATCTGTGCTTTATCTCCATTTATTTGGCACATCCATTGGCAAGATGTGTCCTAAAGTGTCAGAAAAGCCTAAGAGGTTATTTTTGAGCCTGGAAATGCTCAAAAATTTTTTCATGTAAGTTAGTGGTAATTGCTTCTTCACCTTATGCCATTACAGAAGGTTTCATAGGAAGGTTCTTTCAGATGGGGGGAAAACCTGCAACACATACACGGTAATCGAGATGGATTTCAAGTAAATCCTTTGTATGAGAGCCTTCACTGCCACACTCCACCGTGCCCGCCCCTGCTGTTTGGGGTTTGTGGATGGGTGTGTGTGTTGAGAAGCACTGCTTAAAGTTTGACCAGCCATCTGTCTGCAGTAGCACCATTTTTAGAGGCAAAGAGAGAATGCTGTAATAGTGGTGCAAGGTGGGTTTTGTTTTGTTTTGTTTTAGATTTTTTATTTATTTGACAGAGAGAAGGGGAGAGAGGGAGAGAGCAAGCACAAGCAGGGGAAGCAGCAGGCAGGAAAGAAGCAGGCCTCCTGCCGAGCAGAGAGCCTGACATGGGACTCGATCCCAGGACCCTGGGATCATGACCTTAGCCAAAGACAGATGCTTAACCGACTGAGCCACCCAGGCGCCCCACAAGGTGGTATTAATAAAATGAATGTCTCCCCTAGTTTTACTCAGTGACATTCCACGTTCTATCTACAGTCATTTATATACAGTGATGAGCATTGGGCCAAATGATTTGCTGTTCTATTGACCCATCTTTTAAAGCAAACATTTATTCTTGGATCACACCTGAGGGAGTGGAGGAATGGAGAACTGAAGTTTGTGTCCCAAAGCTTTTGTTCCCCGCCTTTGGCCTTTTTTATTGCCAAAATGGGTTATAAACACTCTGCATTTGTGTGACTTAGTTATACATACCTCACATTGGATTTACTTCAGTTTGGGCCTTATTTGTTTTTGATGATGAAAACATAATTAGAATCTATCATCAAATCCTTTCATAACTTAATTCCAATTGTCCTCCCACTTTAGACTCTTCAAAACATTTTTTTAAAAGATTTTGTTTATTTATTTGACAGAGAGAGAGAGAGCGACAGCAGGAACACAAGCAGGGGGAGTGGGAGAGGGAGAAGCAGGCTTCCCATTGAGCAGGGAGGCAGACGCTTAATGACTGAGCCACCCAGGCGCCCCTCTTCAAAACATTTTTATATTCTCAGCACACTCTCACTTTCTTTTTTAAAAATTTTATTTTATTTAAATTCAACTAATTAACATATATATCATTAGTTTCAGAGGTGGAGTTCAGTAATTCATCATTTGCATATAACACCCAGTGCTCATTACATCACGTGCCCTCCTTAATGCCCATCCCCCAGTTACCCCAGTCCCCCACCCACCTCCCTTCCAGCAACCCTCAGTTTGTTTCCTAGAGTTAAATGTCTCTTATGCTCCACTCCTATAACACAACTTCAATGCCTGATATGATATAGTCCAACCTTTCTGTTTCTCAAATGAGGAAACATGGGGTTCCTGGCTGGCTCAGTGAGTAGAGCATGCAGCTCTTGATCATGGGGTTGTGAGTTCAAGCCCCATGTTGGGCAGAGAGCCTACTAAAAAGAATATTAAAGTATTTTGGGGCACCTGCCTGGGTCAGTCGGAGGAGCATGAGACTCTTTTTTTATTTTTTTAAAGATTTATTTATTTGAGAGAGAGAGAATGAGAGAGCACATGAGAGGGGGGAGGGTCAGAGGGAGAAGCAGACTCCCTGCCGAGCAGGGAGCCCG